TTCGGTGAGCATGGAAGCATGTGTGAGATTCATGTGTATAGTTACTGCATGCCAACTGTGGCAATGGTGAAGTGAGACGAAGTGGGACAGCTCTTTTGAAACAGAGAATGGCTAGGGCAATGTCCCTGTGTCATGTATGTAATCGTTGGTGCTGCTGCCTACGCTGACTCGTACGGGAGCTTGGTGTATGTGATGGGTTTGGGATGGTTGGTTCGCTGTTTGGTGAGTCGTATGAGTCGGTGTGAGCAGTTACGTTAGCGGAGATCGAACCATGAGGAGCCTTGCCTGCTTTGTGCGAGTGTGAGAGTCGAAACACCATCTTTCGAAATACCTCACACACACACATACCTCGCTAGTGGGCATAGATCCTCAGCCATGCGAGAGGGCAAAAAACACCAAAACCCAAACCCTTGAGCATTCAGGAAACATCTACACCATCCTCTTCAGCCTGGAGCTCTTCATCCGCCTGGGGACACAAGGAAAGCTCTTCCTCTGCGGCGAAGATCGGAGGCCCAAAAAGTGTCGGCTCGGGGCTACTACTTCTTCAAAATTAATAGTCATCAGAAGAATAGCAAAGAATAATAAAAATAGTAGTATTATGATTTACTATTATTGTTATTTTTTAATTCGTCGTCTTATTCTCATGATTAATGTTTTTGTGGCTTTTTTAAATATTCGCAATATTTCATTAGTATCAGCATTATTGTTAGTAGTAGTATTATGTTCTGGTATCACGTATTCCTTACTTTTAGATCAACACAGCTCAGGAATGCATCGGGTCAAGGCGTTAGGTTTGTCAGGCCGGGGTCCTTGAGCATCAGATATAATAAAAAAGAATATATACATATATATATATACATACACACACATACATCATGATTATCATTATAATTATTATTACTATTGTTATTGTATATTTTATATATATATATATAGAGAGAGAGAGAGAGAGATCCGGGTTTGAGGTTCAGATCAGACCCGGATGCGGAACCTGGCGCCCCCCGTTCCGGGTCCCCAACTCCCTTGTGTTGCCTTTTGCGCAAACAACCCAGTTGTAGTCCGTGTATCGGACAAGTCATAGTATGTGCCAAAATCGTCTGAAGTTAAGCCCAGAGGTCTGGTGGCTTGAACCTCACCTTTCAACTTCCAATGTTGTTGGGCCTCAATCGTGTTTCGGGTTCGGGCCTGGTGTGGCTCTGCGGGTTTATCTGGAGATTCGGATTGAGGGCTTGTTTGAGGGTTCAGGGTTCTGTCCAGTTTTGGTTCAGGGCTTGGAGCCCAACTTAGTGAGAGGTGGAACTGTCTCGACTCCATCATCGTGATAGCTTCCTGGTGGGAGGCCAGTCTCCGAAAAATTCATCCGTCCGGCTTGCAGGCTAGCGGCTAGCGGCTAGTGTTAAAGACTGGTTTCTATTTTTGGTTTTTGGACGTTCAGCGGCAGATCCCCGTTTCGACGACGTTCACAGGTTTGGGCTATTTTAGGTACGTTTTGAGCACATGTGTGTGTGAGAGGATGACTAACCTGGACCTGAAGGGCAGGGTCTCCTGCTTCGACGTCGGATGTCCGGGGATTTGGGCGGGCGAGTTCTGGACATAACTATAGTAACGATGGGTCGGTCTCATGACTCAGGCCCTATAGTCCTGAAACATCCACATGCTAAGTTTACTACACCAGGGCCAGGGTTCCTGAAGCACCATCCTTGCTTCCTCTCCTCCCAGCACGGCCTGCCACTTTTTCGGAGGCAGCCCTGGAGATTCAGCTGTGGCTAACGGAAGAAGGCTCGCGCAGCATCTCGGCTTTGGGACTTCCAGAGAAGCAGGAAATCGGCAATGATGTCGGCTGGGGATAAGACAACCGGGATGATGGCATCTACACACGATGTCAAATATATCATGCCCAGGCAACTTCGCCGGCATCACCGGGATACGCACATTGCGTATCGTCCGCATCACGCGACTGGTGAAAGTGGCACGGCTGGCGCGGTTCCTCCGGTTTGTGATGGCCTTGCGCACGCTGATGCTTGTCTCAAGCGTCCCCAACAGCAGATTTTTGGCCAGGCCACTCTTGTTTGTATGGTAGAAACCGAGGCGGCGCTTGTCACGTTATAATTGGTACTAATGTAGTGGCCTAAACAATTAGAATAGGGTTTTGGGGTCCCTTATTATACTTATACTATAATGCCCCAAAACCCTATTCAAGTTATTACGGCCACTATAGTGTACCTAGGGCTGTTTGGGCCCCCTCCTTCGGAACGGTCCCACTGTATAATGTCACTATGACATGGCTGCAGACATGAGGGCCTTGGATCTAGAATCGTGCCTTTCTCAGGGGAGGTTGCAGGCTGAGGCCTCGTCAAACTTGAGATGACAACGTTGCCAGTTCTGAGGACTCAGTCCATCATCTACACGCTGAAATCCCTGATTTGGGCCATGGTGCTGCTACTTCTCATTGTGCACCCAGGATTTGACAGGGGGGGGGGGTATATAGTGTTAAGTACGTTTTGCGACGCTTTGCAAAAATGACGAAGAGCACCGAAGCCAAGCGAAACGTCGATAATGTAGAGCCCTGCACTGAAAAGCTCCGAACCCGAAGCTTGAAGCTCCCATAGCCGGACACGCCTTCAGCGAGATTTTGGGAATTCGAGAGCGAGTGCAACTGGGGCCCTGCTTGGTGCTCCTGTATGCTTTGGCTTCTGGAGGGTGTAGGGACTCTCGCCTTATGCTGCGGGTGGCCAGCGACCGAATGCCTCGAAAGTAAGCTGTCGTACGTGTTCATGTGATGGGTGTGCTTAGCAGTGATGCTGGATGCGACGATGCTGCCGCTGTAGTGGCTGGCAGCAGGAGGAGAAGGAGGCAACCTTTGCGGCAGCAGGGAGCAATAAATGGCTGCTGCCCAAGCCTCTCCGAAACATCAACTCGTTGTAGGCATTGATGCTCAGAAGGCGGGGTCGGGTCGCGACGAGGACTGCTCCTTTCTAGCTGAGTGAGCTTTGTGTTCTAAGCTGATATTGTACTCCACAGAGCTCCCGGATTTTTAGCCGATGGCCGAGGTACAGCTTCGGCATTCTCTTTACCCAAGTTGTGGCAGATATCATCAAGGAGCATGCCCAGCTCATCGAACAGCAGGCTATCCCTTCCTAGCCTCTTTGGGATCCTTCATTGAAAACGTGACGAAGCCAGATCCCCCCTAGAGGTCCCTAGCTCAGAAGCCAGGGCCGGAGGACTCCAAAGCGAAGCACTAAGTCTGAGTTTAGTGACACAATTTAAAAGAGACAATGTCACAACTCCTTTTAGGGGGCACCTCTCTAGAGATATTTCCTTCAAGAGTTGACGATCCGGTTGGCTTTGCTTGCCCCTATCTGTCATCTCCGCCTTATGAAGCCTCGCTCGAAATGCGCAGACCACGCGGCTCTTGAAAGTACGAACCACTTACGGTTGAGATTGGTCTTAGCTGGAGCCGAACTTGAATGGACAAAATGGCAGCCACCATTTTGCGTTACGAACATTCGAATCTAGCCAGCCTCGCCTGCAGTCCGAAGCACAACCCTTGAACTCTTCCCTCTCGAGCCCTAAACCCTATAAGGCCGAAACCCTCAACCCTAAAACCCCTGTTTGAGCCCTGAGCTCCCGAAACCCCGAGCCCGAGCGTCCGAAGTTCTACGAGTCTCCTAGGCCTCGACTTCCTCTTTGGATTCCGAAGTGTGGTTTCCATGGCAAGAGCACTGTTCTTGGGGATTGAGGCAAACCCTGAACCCTAAACCCCTAAACCCTGACATCTTGCATCATGTGGAGCCTTGCCTGCCTTGTGCCATTTTGTGAGAGTCCAAACCCTGAAATATGAAACCTGCAGGCCGGCTTAACCGCCGAGCAGATCGAAGCCAAGTTGGAGGCGAAGAGGGTCGGCGAGCAGTACTTCGGGAGCCTCTGGACGCCAGGCAAGACGTGGGCCTTCTATTGAGGAAAAACCAGAGGATTTAGGGGTTTCGGAGCTGCAGAAACTCCCAGTGCAGAAGGTTTCAGGAGGGTGGGGCTAGTTCGGCCTACACTTCTAGACCGTGATGTAAACGGTGCCAGGGCTCGGGGGCTGAGCGCAAGACTGTGAGACGCTTTGGAGCGGCTTGGGGCCGGGGTTCCCACAAGCCCGGGTAGCTGAAGACGCTTTTGAACTAACTCTTCCTTGGGACCCCATCTAAAGCAGCTCGGCAGATTGAGACGAAGTTGTTGCAGTCTCGAGGCTTGTTTGGTGTTCAGGAGTCTAGGCATCGAAGCCTGATGTGTGGGAACCTGCTGCTCGGAGACATGGCCTTGGGGCCAAGAGCCTTCAGCCAAGATCCCTTCTCACAAGACCCCGAAAGGTAAGCCCAAGAGCATTGTGTGTGTGTGTGTGTTTTTCTTTGCGCAGGCGGCAAGAAATCACAGCGACACAACAATCCGAAGCCCCTAAACCTTCGGGCAGTCTACAGGGTGCTCATATTTTCCTACTGGTCTGTGCGTTGTCACGGGCGCATGCTATGCTGAGTTGGACCTGCCGCCTGAATCCGTGCCTGCCTCGTGCGTGTGCGAGGGTCGAGACCCTACGTCCGAAGCCTTGAAAACCATTATTATTATTATTATTGTTATTATTGTTATTATTATTCTTATTATGATTGTTATTGTTATTGTTATCTTATTATTACTATTATTGTTATAATTGCCCACCTTTTCCAAGGAAATCGATGGTAAGCCTCTACATGAGCATCGCTGGCGGGGTTAGCTGGGAGCAGGTCCTCGTTCCTTTGGAGGTGCCCTGAAAAGAAGTCGGGGATGATGGGGGTTATTCGGTTAGGGATTGACATTTAGGGATTTAGGGATGTAGGGTTTAGGGTTTGTAGCCTTTTGGGATTCAGGCTTCAGTGTGTGGGTTTTTTCTTCGGACTTGAGGGGTGACTGTGGCTTCAAGGGCAAGCTTATAGGGTTCAGAGTTGTGCGAAGGCTTCCTCCGTAACTGTAGCAGAAGAATTTCATGCCCTTCGGATCTGTGATGCAAGACAGGCAATACATGCCCGCTTTCGTCGGTAGCTTTTTTTGGCATCCTTAGTCCTTAATTAACAGCTGGCTTGCATAGTCTTTGCCGACAAGTTTTATGAACACAGGTGTCCAGCAGCATCATACAGCCATTAGCATCCGAAGCAATCCTAAACCCTAAGCCCTAAGCCCGAGTTCATCATAGGCAACGAACAGAGACACGCAGAATTGTCACTGCTTTCTTCTGGGGACTCTGTGCCTGCGACAACCTGCACGGGTGATGCGAATGAGTCTGTCTTGAGTTATGTATACGCATTTCTATTTTCGTGTATTCTGATAATGTACAGATGTAGACTGCTTTGATGCGTATACTTATACGGTATGCATCCGTATACTATGTGTACAACAAATAAAAAGATAAATATAAGCATATATATAGATATAGATATAGATATAGATATAGATATTTACCTCTGCAAAATGGACAGATCGATGTGTATGTGTGTATATATAAGTGGTGTTTTCAGTTTGTTCGTTGTGTGGTTTGTTGCATTAATCGTCTTGGGTTGTTTGATGTCCATCTACAGGATTCGGATGTCTTGGCAGGATTCCGATGTCTTTGGCTTGAAGGCAAGCGTCCAAGCACATCTGACGATCTCAGGCGAGTGGCTGGATTTGGGTGATTGCGCAATTGGGCTGCAACCGGTGAACAGAACTTCTGCGACCCTAGACAGACCATACATCAGTGCTTGCATTCACCTCTGTGCTCATTTTGGTTTGCACAAGAGCAGACTGAACGTTCTTCTGGTTGAACCGGTTTCACAGCACTTGGTAATGCTTGTGAAGCATGCATCTTCAAGACAAAGGGCAACACCAGATCCATAGTGACCATCCATGTGTGTGGGGCGTGTGCGCATCTGTTTGTGTGTGTGCGCATTTGTGTACACAGATGTTATTGAACATGTTTGTGCAGAACACGGGGTCATGGTGCAACAGTTTCTAATTCATTGCATGCTGCTGGAGTCATTCCAATCCTTGGCCTTCTGCTAAGCTCACACCTAGAGCCATCTTAAAGTCACAAAATTTAGAAGTGGGCTTCGAGGTACAGAGAATGTGCATAGGGACGATAAGGCTCTAGTATGAATAGAAACAATGTTGTAGGCCGCGGGTTTACACCAAAACACGAGCTTGTCCTGCCCTTGTCACCTATGCTATGCACTTTTTTTTACATGCCGTAGGCTGCAATGGCTGCAGGGCGGGATGCCAACAGCCTGCAGCCGCAGGATCGGATAGATGCGGCTACATGTAACCCGACAATACCGTAGGCACCGGAAAAGACCAGCAGTACTTGAGTTTGCGAAGTTTCGCTGTCGTGGAGTTGTTGTTAGAAGAAGACGTGGCACCACACTGCGATGACAACAGATGGAGTCAACAAAAACACCGAGGGTCCTCAAGTTTGGGGCGGGCAAACATTTGAGAAATTCTTGATGTAAATCTGAAGTCCGCCTCTCCTCAGGTTTATCTTCTACATTGCGTTTTCGACGCTGGCAGTGCTCAATGTGGTTCCACGATTGGTCAGAAGTTTTCAGAAGGGGTGTGCGAAGCGCCCGGGAAGCGCCATCTCCTAGCACAGCGTGTGCACAACTCCAGACGGTGCGAGACTGCCGCTTCAAAGGCTTTGTGTCCCCCTCTCCTTCCCGCTCCCCACCAATCCCTCTCACGATCTGCCTTCGTTTCTTTAAAGGGTTGTGTGTAGTCCTCTCTCTCTCTGTGTCGCTCTCTCTCTCTCTCTCTGGCTCACTTCATTCTTTGTCACTTGTCTCTGTCATTGTGTGTCTGTCTCTGTCTCTTTCCCTGTAGTGGTGAATGACAGGGGAGTCACTTAGCAGTACTGTCGTTGTACTGTAGCATTTCGTAGTATATAGTAGTAATAGCAGCAGCAGCAGCAGCAGCAGCAGCAGTAGCAGCAGCAGTAGCAGTAGCAGTAGCAATAGCAGCAGCAGAAGCAGTAGCAGCAGCAGTAGTAGGAGTAGCAGTAGCAGCAGAAGCAGCAGCAGCGTAGCAGTAGCAGTAGTAGCAGCAGCAGTTGTAGTGGTAGTGGTAATAGTGGTAGTGGTAGTAGTGGTGGTGGTACTAGTAGTAGTAATAGTGGTAGTAACAATAGTAGTAATAAAAATAAACGATATAGTAGCAGTGGAGTAGTAGTAGTAGTAGTCGTCGTCGTCGTCGTCGTCGGCGTGGTCGTCTTGGTCGTCTTGGTCGTTGACGCCGTCGACGTAGTAATAGTATCAGTAGCAATAGTACTACAAGTGCTAGTAGTAGCAATCATTAATGTAAAAACAACAGAAATACTAGCAGTGGAGAAGAAGAAGTAGCAGTAGTACTAGTAAGTAGTAGTAGTAGTAGTAGTAGTAGTAGTAGTAGTAGTAGTACAAGTAGTAGTGTTAGTAGTAGCAGTAGTAGTAGTAGTAGTAGTAGTAGAACTAGTAGTAGAA